CTCACCCGACGTGACGTCTCCGTTCCCTCCTTCAGGGAACGAGGGTTACCATACGTAACCGAGACGTTCTTGTAGCTCATATAGTATAGCATGACACTAACAATCCCAAGGCTGTGGGTTCAATTGCCAAGGAACACACTCATAAACACTGTGTAGAAAAAAAAATGTATGTCACATTCAAACAATGCTTGTGCCAAATGCATACACTACCATTCAAAAGTTAGGAGTAAGTTATAAAAAAACAAAAATAAATAAATAAATACTTTTATTTAGTAAGGATGTATTAAATTGATTGAAAGTGATAGATATCTTTTATTTATAAATAAAAATTATATTATTTACATTATAAAAGTCTTTACTGTTTCAAATAAATGCTGTTGTTTGAACTTCCCATACCAAAGAATCCTGAAAAAAATCTACTGTTTTCAATAGATCATAATAATAAATACTTCTTGAGCCCCATATCAGCATATTAGAATGATTTCTGAAGGATCATGTGACACTAAAGACTAGAGTAATGGCTGCTGAAAGTTCAGCAAACAGTTCATTTAAATTGGTATAATTTCACAATATTACCGTTTTTACGGAATTTCTGATCAAATAAATACAGCCTTGGTAAGCGTAAGAGACTTCTTTTAAATAGTAGTGTGCATGTAGGTATAATTACAGTTTAGCACCAAGCATTTGTCCATAAGAGCCGTGCTATACTGTCTGTGCCATTTACGATCAGTTTAAAACAGAACACCATGTTTCCAATGAAGTCCTCAGAGTTGTGCAACAGTCTAAAGAGAACACACACAGGTCTTGACGTGTGAGACTGAACGGTTGAGCTGTAACACATCCACATATTCAAGCACTGTTGGGTGTATTGATCTCCAAAGCAGCCTAATTAAGTCATCAGCATAATGGCAATTCAAATATTTGGACCATTACGCTGACATACAAATATATTTTCTTGGCTAAATTAAAACAGGAGTCTATTATGATTACTTGTATTCATAATTTTATTATTATTATTATTATTATTATATTTTGTAAAGAACATTTTGTATTTTTTATTGATAAATAAATGAATGATAAATATAAATATTATTTCCATCAAATATCTTTATAAACCTATACACAGTTGTGGGTTCAATAAAATTTTTACATGTTCTTGAAAGACGTCTCTTATGCTCACTGAGTTTGAATTCTATTCGAACATATTTTAAAATGTAATTTATTCCTGTGATAGGTGAATTTTTAGCAGCCATTACTGTAGTCTTCAGTGTCACATGATCCTTCAGAAATTATTTCAATATGCTGATTTGGCGCTCAGTTGAGTTGTACTGCTAAATATTTTGATTCTTAGCATTTTTGATAAATGTAATGCGTCTTTGCAGAATAAAAATATTAATTTCTTTCAAATAATAATATTCAAATAAAAAATAAATCTTACCGACTCCAAATTTTGAATGGTAGTGTATAAAAAAAAAGATGATTTTATGGATGGAGCAGGGGAAATGTTGGCAGTAAAACTTAAGAAAAAAAAAATGACCCAAGTCAGCCAGCCGAGAAGAAAACCCTTATTATTAAGCACTGAACATAGTATCAATAAATGTAATGTCTTTTGTAGAAAAAGCTTAATCTTAAACATTAAGATCTTGACATCTTAGGACCCACGCAAATGCTGGGATAAATCTCACATGCCTAAATTGCAGTTTGAAAAGATGTGAACATGACAGAAAGGATGGTTGAAGTTTTCTGTCAGAAGCTTGTAAGAGTAGGCAAGACAAATTTCACTAACATAAAAAAGCAATTAGATGTCAGTGTTCAGAGATAAATCATGACAATAGCGGCTGTACAGAGGCTGCATAATCACACACAGAATGTAAAACTCAAATCAAACGTGTAATGGTGTTGGTGTAAATCTTGTTCACTCTCTCACAGACACACACATGCACACAATGCCATGTTGCTGTCTCCGTCAGATGCCTGCAACAACAGCTTACGGAGAGACTTTTATTGCTGCTTTCCCTTTTGTTCCCTTTCTCCCTGCCTTTAATTACGCCTTCCATCACCAGTCATTACAACAACTAATTATCATTGTGCTTCTGCTCCTCCAATCTTACAGTGCTCTGAGTGTGTGTGTGTGTGACACTTCATGAATTTGTTGGCTTATAGAACCTTTTACTGTCTACACACATACAGCAGCTTTTAATGAAGCTAGGCCTGGGCGATAAAACGGTATCGATATTTATCGATGGTACACCTTCTTCGATATCGATAGAAAAAATGTTTTCTATTGCTTTTTGCTTTAAAAAAGGTAATAAAAATGTAAATAATTATCGATACTGAATGATATGAAACATTATATCGTCGATACATTTTTTAGCTATATCGCCTAGCCCTAAATGAAGCCTTGATTTTTTTTGTGCCTTCACACACTATAGCACATTTTACCCTTATTAAACTCATCATCATAGTTAAACCCTATCCGACTGATCATTTTATACCTCTTTGAAGAAATCACTGTTTTCTCTCCACCTGTTATTGATGAGCATATAGTACAACAAGTACTTTATGAGCCCTCCCCCAACTTCTGTCAGTCAATCCCAACCGATGCTCTGGTAACTAAAGGCAACAGTCTCCCAAGGGCACCCTTGACCTTTCACCTGATTGTTCAGTCATAAACCACACCCAGGAATAATGTCTGGGGCGTGGTTAACCGAATTTATTGCGCACACACATAGCGTACATACAGTATCATTTCCATTTACTGAAGCTGAATACATTACCATGCCAATGACCAGACTGCCAAGAAAGATGCACAAGAAATCAATCTCGTCTGCCCAGAACAATTGGGATCACGTTCATTTATGCACATCATTTTTAATACGAAACATAAGGGCATTAAAGCAGCACAGCGGACAATATATTAAAATGAGCTCAACCAAACTGTAAGCTTATTTGGTTTTTAAATATAAATCCTAAAAATATTTTAAATCCCTGAACTAAAAATGTTACTAAATAAAATAGCTGAGACAGTTGTTTAAAAACAGTTCGCCCAAAAATTCTGTCATCATTTACTGACTCTTGTGTGGCTTTCTTTCTTCCGTGGGAACACAAAAGAATGTCTCAGTGCTTTTTTTTTTCTTTTGAAAGTCAGTGAGGTCCAAAACAGCCCCATTGAGATTTATATTAACATTAATATTTAGTCATTGAGCAGACGCTTTTATCCAAAGCGATTTACAAATGAGGACTATGGAAGCAATCAAAATCAACAAAAGAGCAATGATATACAAGTGCTTTAACAAGTCTAAGTTAGCTTAACGCAGCACACGTAGCAAGGGTTTTTTAAATTATATAATAAATAAAAAGAAAACAGATAGAATAGAAAAAGAATAGAGCAAGCTAGTGTTAGAGGCCTTTTTTTGTTTTTGTTAATAGTATAATAAATAAAAAGAAAACAGATAGAATACAAAAAGATTAGAAAGCTAGTGTTTTTTTTTAAAGAAAACAAGCAGCAAATGAATAGAGTGCAAGTCTAAAAGGGACAAGTGTTTTTTTATATGAAAAACAGATTAACAATAAATGATTTTACTAAATAATATCACTATATACAGTATATTACAGTATACAGTATAGGACTTTACAACCTCCGACTAGATCAGACACAACAAATGGCTGTAAAATGCCTTTTTAGTCCCATGCAAAAATGACAAGAGATGAGCAAACGCATGGAGTAAACTTAAAAAGACTAAAATGCAAAAATATTTTTTTCCAGATGGC